TAATAATAATAATAATAATAATAATAATAATAATAATAATAATAATGGCTACAAGAGAATGAAACAAATTACAAACAAGATAAGCATTAATAACAGTGCCCTCAAACAAATTAATACTTTTAATTACTTATTACATCCTATTTAGGAGAAAAGTATTTCAATGCAAAAACTGTAAATTTTTGTCAAAATATCAAGAATTGTAAACAAGATTTTTAAATCATCATTAGTTTCTAGGAATACAGGATATGAATTCTTAATACGGTTGCTTAGGCTAGTGAATCATGAACAAGAACAACTGATATGAGAAGATGGATATCAGCAGAAATCAGCAGACATGAAGAATATATGAAAATACTAGAAATGAAATAAATATTTACAGAATACAACAAATTTCAGAGAATATGCTGATAGGTTGAGCTCTAACAGGACTCCAAGGAAGACATTAAAACATCAAAAGAACAGAAAAAGGAGCTCAGGAAGACCTACCACATGATGGGATCGAGTTTGTTCTGTAACAGTTCTCAGTAAGTCTAATGTTGTAAAGGATGGTGATAATGAATTAATCTAAGATCACATGGATCAGTGGATCATCTTTACAATTAAAACATTATGAGTTAAATGAAATTTACTTCCAAAACTGTAATCTAAAGACTACTGTATTTAAATATGGCCTTGATTTCATTTCAGCCCAAGTTTCTTATTCCAATACGACTGGATTGCAGCATCATTCTGTTCATAAATCTGTCCCCACAATAACATTCACACTACTCTATAGATTTTTATACAATTCTGTACATAACTGTAGGCCACACAACCTTTGTATCTCTAATTTCCCACAATCAGGAGTACCAACACTGCGGTTGAATGAACTTGTGAAGTAGGAGTAACATTAGTGCTCTCATGATAAATTTTGTGCTGCAATATATCTTCAGAACTGGAACTGTTATTAACTTGTGTGTGTGTGTGTGTGTGTGTGTGTGTGTGTGTGTGTGTGTGCATTCACATTTGTGTGCATGTATGTCAGCCATAAAAATGTACTTTTATCTTTCAGCTCAATAACAAAAAGTAAAGAGCTAGTGGAGATGGACATGTGAAATTTTATATTGAGATAAATCATAAACATACAGAAATCCTGTATAAAATATTATTTACTTTTTGACAGTGAGAACCAGTTCAGACAGGCAGAGGTACTGGGGTTACAGTGACAAATAATATTATATTTTATTTCTCAACTGAGAACATTAAAATAAAATATTATATGAACACAATATTTGTACAAATCAAAATTGTGTAAATTGGGGATATCTGTAACTTGCATAGTTAAAGTGTCAAAGAAAGGAGGGAAGACCATGTCTCTTCTCATGGGACTAATATAATTCCACACAGTATACCACAAGAAATTCTGTAGTTGATATGCTAATTTTGCCAGCTTATGCATATATAGCTTTCTAGTCACTGGTGACAGCAATGGACATTACTATTTAACAGTTCAGAGTTACCATGAACTGACTACTTCATGGAGCTGAGTCATTATTCCCTTTGTCTTCTTGACAGAATCCCTCTGTGGGCTGACCATTTTCAGTCACTGCAATAATCTGTCTCCCAGTCTTCATCAACCACTTCCATAAAGGGCTTAATGATTCAAATTTGGTATGCCCCTTTTTCTTCCCTGCAGTGACCGTACAACATATTTTTTTCATAACTGTGGGGCTCTAGAGTCGCTCCTTTTTATACGCTGGTCGGTGGGGCGGAGCCAAACTCGAAAGTGAGGAGGAAGAATTGATTGGCTAGCGCGCGTAATGGTGTAGACGCGGGCTAGCGCCGAGCGTAGTATAAATGCGATCGTTTGTAGCAATCTGATTGGTTAGCGCGCGTGATGGTGAAAAGAGATGTGAAGAGCGAGCGTTGCAGAAATGCGTGATAATGTGGGATGTTCCCACATAACCATTCCTCTCTCATTCATTCAAAATAGCTATACCAGGTCAGTGCTGTTTGTTTAGTTCTTCAAAAGCTTAGTCAATCAGCTAATCAATACATATTTTGCTTTTTATAGAACCTGTAGATTCATTACCATATTCCCATAAGCCTGTCACTGATCTCTTATCTTGAACAAAATAAATCCATTCCACACCCTCCTGCCCTGGTTCTTGAGGACCCATTTTAATATCATCCTCCATCTATGCCCAGGTCGTCCATATTGTTTGTTCCCTTCAGATTTTCTGACCAAAATTTAATATGAATTTCTCATCTCTCCCATGTGTGCTGCATGTCCTACTCATCTCACTCTCTTTGATTTGGCTGTCCTATTAATACATGGCAAAGAGCCAAAAACAAATAATAAATTTATTATAATTTATAATTAATGTTTTGATATAAATTTTCTCTTCCAGTAATAGTCATTTATAGGAATTTACAAGAGACTATTTATAAAACTGAATGTTAATGATAAAAACGGATATTAGACATTTTAGAAATACAAATCCTCAAGTTTTATTATTATAACTTCACACTCACAGAAAATTCACCAGGTTTTGCATTCATTGCTCGTGTCTTCAGAACATCTAGTGGCTGTGTTAATGTAGTGGCTACAGCTCCCTGAAAATAAACATCACAAAAATTATTTTCAAAAACTGTAGAAATTCTTTTACATTGCATACTACCTGTGCAAGCTACATATATCACATAATATTATGTAGTGTATCTCAATAAGAATGGTTAGACAATTCTTGAATTGTGTAACAGCACTTTGCAAACCATATGGGCTATGCCACAATGAATAACAGCATGCCTATATCAAGAATGAACAGAAAGGATGCAGAAGGAAGTTGTCATTGCCTACTTTAAGAGAATATTCCGGACAGGCTCCTAAAAACTACAAAAACCTAAGTCTGAAGAGCCAATGTCCAGGCTGAGGTTCAACTTGAGACTTCCCAGATACAAAGCAGCTACATTAATTGATCAACCATAACAACTGGTTTTATCATGGCTTTACTGTACTTTCATTACTTTCCAACAGAATGAGCATGTGCATAAGATATGCAACACCGTATTACCAGTACTCCTTACTTGACACAATCCTGTGTTGTTCTCAGCCACTTTCAATCCTAATAACCTACTTCACTCCAATCCCTTTTAACATTATCCTCTTTCTCCGGTTTAGTCCTCCAGTAGGTTGCCTTCACAGTACTCCATCCACCAACATTCTGCACTCATTTCTTGTTTATTATCAAAGCTACATGTCCAGCCCACCATAATTTGCCAATTTCACTGTCCTACCAACACTAGGTAACCTGCATAAAACATGACTTTCCTCATTATGTAACATCCTACACTGTTCACTTCATCTTTCATTGGGCTTGAAGTTGTGGCCAGTGTGGCCCACATATTTCTTGTTGCAATCTAAGCATTTTAAATTTAAACATTAACACAAGAAATAATCAGCACATTAATGACAATAGAAAGATTAAAGCTAAATGAGGATATTCCCAGCAAATGTTAGAAAACTGGCTACGGGAACTATGGGAAAGCTGATGGACACTTCATGCAAAAACAAAGGACACTTTCTACACATACTTGAGTGATTTCACATTTAGTAAAAGGGTATATGCACCTGACACCTACAGATGTGTGAGGGACAGTCAGTAAATAGGTCACAAATGGTTATAAAACATAAAATATGCAATATTCAAACCCAGAAAAATCATTTATTTCCAAGACATATCTTCCACCAACATTGATACACCTGTCCCATCGCTTTATTAGTGTGACAAAACCTGAAGCATAAAAGTCTTTTGATTGTTTTTGTCAGCCACTTCTGCACCTATGTTTCAACCTCATCATCAGTGAAACGTTTGGTACCAAGAGGGTTTCTTCAGTGGACTAAAGAGATGGAACTCAGCAAGGGGCAAGTCCAGGCTGTAAGGCAGATATTCGAGAAGTTCCGACTGCAGTTCTTGAATTCTCTCCTGAGTTACTCTCGCTGTATGGGGTCTGGCACTGTCATGATGAAGCAGTAACCCTCTTGCCAGCTGGCCTGGACATTTTCTGAGAATTGCATCCTGAGGCTTCAACAGAACTTAACAGTACACTGCAGAATTAATATTTTCACACTTCTAAAAATGGGCTAACAGTCCTCCCTGAGAATCCCAAAACATGGTAAGCATGATCTTCTCAGCTGATGGTGTACTCATGACCTTAAACATTCTGGCTGAAGGTGAACTAGGATGTTTCCATTGCACTGAAGTATGCTTTCATTCTGTTTTTTTTTATTATTATTGCTAGTGGGGTGGGACTAAGCCCCTTGTACTGTGGCCACTTCTGGCCTATTGTACCAGCCCCAGATGATGGGTGAGGGTGAATGAAGATTGGCATAGGAAACTGGAGTACTTGGAGAAAACCTGCCCCAGTGCCACTTTGTCCACCCTAAATCCCACTTGACCAGACCCGGGATCGAACCCGGGCCATCGTGATGGGAAGCCAGAGAAAAACCACTTGAGCTATGGCGCGGCCCTCTCATTCTGGTTGGTAGTGATGCACCCATGATTTGTCCCCAGAAACAATCCTGTTAAGCATATCTTCTCTAATCTGTATACTGTAAGAGATGTTGCAAGGGCAGATCATTTAATTTTTCTCAATCCTTCAGTTCTCTGGACACCCACCATGCACACACCTTCAAAACTTCAAATGATCATGCATTATGCTGTATCATAAACCATGCAAACACCCTTAATGCAGTTGTGATGCTGTCTATCGTTATCCTCCTGTCAGCTTGAATCAACTGTTTCGCCCACTGCACGGTTCCTTCTGTCGCAATCTCAACAGGGCAACCTGCAACCTGGTCAGGCATCATATGTGTCTTTCACTCATCCTTGAGAGAAATTCTCAATCAAATTGTGAACTGCTTTATGCGACAAACACTCCTAACTGTAAAAAGGAAACATTTCTTTATGAATCCCTTGCACTGAGTCCTTTTGCCCACAAAAAGTGTACAACAAATCTATTCTTTGATAGTATAATCCTCATGCACGATCGCCATTTTGACTACTGAAACCAGCCTCTGAACATGACAATCTGCTACATAAACTTTTTACTGTGAAAAATAATTGTAAATACAAAAAAAGGTCTAGGCAATGCCCATCCGGCATCCAGTTGTACTGTGCTGCTACCTAGTGATACACATAGAAAACCTATTACATCCATTACAGTTGTTTTACTTCCATTTGTGACCTATTTACTCACTCTTCCTCGTACATAACCCAATATTCTATGTTTCCATTATTCATAAAACCAGATGAGCATAGCATGGCATGGGGAGCAGTACATTGGGTCACCAAAATTTAGTTCAATGTCAACCATGTCACAGAGAGCTCCATATCCCTGTAAGTTGTCTATTTACATAATTAACATTCCCAATAGCTTAAGCGATCAGGAAAAATTCTCCAAAAACTATTTTCTCAAGAAAAAACATACATATTACAAACCAGAAATTAATTTCATTGCAGCTTCTGTTTTCCATCCTATACCTCAGACATTAAAGCATAACATACACCTGTTTATGTAACGTGTATTAAGTTGCATAAAAAGTGCAATGGTAAATAATTTTAATAACTGAAACAAATTTTATTCAGATATCAATTTCATATTTATAAACATTCTTGTACATTATATTTATAGGGATTAACTATCCCCCTAACACAATCAAATAAGTATTATAACTATATATATTAATATATATATATTCCCTGTTTCATGTATTCATGTGAAGATCTGATGATGGCATTTGACCTATAGCTGATAACTACAAGACTACTGTTTGACAGAAATGAATACAGACTATCTCTGTAAACAAAAACACAATAATATTCTGCAAGTGAAATTACTTTAACTTATGTTCTGCCCTCAAAGTTAGGAATCATGTTCTACACCCATAAATAAGGAAATAAATACACAAATCACCAAAGTTGAAGTTAACCCACACTGATTTCTAGAATAACATTTGCATTCTATCCCATACGATTTCCAAAGTGCATCGTAAGAGTTGGCACCATTATTGATGTACTGAATGCATGGGACAGTGATATATATATATATATATATATATATATATATAAGGAATGGGCCTTATATGCTGAATACATTCGATGGAACTGAGGGATTAATTACACAATCAACAGCTGCAAGCATTTGGGGCAAAATAAACCCCACACATGACAGTAAAGATAACAGCTACTATAGAAAACTACTTTATATATCTAAATCTTCAGTCTTCGGAAAGCATATTGGATGATAAAGTTTTATAACTCAATAATCCTTGATGTTTCAGCCATATATGCCATAATATGTTCAGAAACATTACTTACTGCTGTGAGACTAGAGAGAAAATGAGTAACAAGATCGTCAGAGAAGCCAGCTCTTAGTAGGAGCATCTTCACTTGGTCATAGAAAGATAACTGCCCAACTGTCATGAGCACAGCACGACCTGTAGCTGTGGATGCTCCCGAAAAGAGGCGCCGTGTTCCTTCTTCTCGATAAACACGTATCAGACCATCAAATGCATGTTTGTAACTGGAACCAAATTAAAACAATAGTGAGGAAATGAAAAAAGTTAACCACATTTTTCAAGAATACCAGATCTTCTTAATGTATTATTGTAGTAGTATTAATGTAATTAATGTAATTGTATGATGTAATATTAAGTCTAACAGCATCACATCAACTACTACAAAGTGAGATATTTTGTAAATGTGTCCTCAGGTGGAAGAATTGGACTCTACTTCCCCAAGTCAGGCTGACCCATAACATGTAAGTTCCCTTCACATAAGCACTGTCTAGAAAACTCTACGATTCAAAGACAGTATATACAGTAATCATTCTTTGCTTAGGTTTTCCTTATTATATATTTACTGAATAATAAAACTGCTTATTCCTAACACCACAAATTATTAATAAACTCTTTGAAAATATTATTTTTATCCACAGTTGCACATTCTACTTAATGAAAGGCAACTTCACAATAAAAAAATTATCTGATGAAGTGAATTTTACTGGTGAGTGTATAATGTTATGACTGACACTCATATGAAAGAACAACTTAAATTAATAATAATGGAAAAGGATCACAGGCAAGGGTGATATGAGAAAGTGGGTTTAACCAAAACTTAAAGAATAAAAACAGTTGAAAAATCACCTCCACATAACACAAGATGCCAAAATGTTGCAACTGTTGAATACTGTTATGTTCCACATGTGTTATACTGAGGTCTGTAAAGGATTTAATTTACATTTATAGTAATGAGCGGAGAAGTCAGAATTCATTCAGTTTTCATTCCTTATTTAAAAATTAACAACAAAGCATTACAATGCTGTTTACAATAATCTACCATGAAGACAGCATCCACAGAACACAGAGATGTTTAAACAAAAACTAAAGGATTTTTTTGACCAATTGTTTAGTCAGTTGTCAGTCAGAATGCGGTAACTCAGATGCTGACATAAACAGGACCTGCCACTAAATGACCACCTCGATAATAAGCGTGAACTTAATATACATCAATTACTGCAGGTTTGTCCATGACCAGTTCACTGTGTGCATTCACAGTGCTTGTGTTGAAACATGGATACATACAGTATTTGAAACACATGCGTCATTATTTTGCCAGCAGTCATACAACATACACTACTGGATACTAAAAGCCATAAGTTATTTGCCAGATCCCATTATGCAGCAACAACTAACAAACAAACAAACAAACAAACAAACAAATGGTGTATGGTGTGCTGAAAGTGCTAGAAAAATTCCTTCATGACACAGTTAATTCAGAACAGCATGTGGACATTATTCTGTAGCTCTTCTTTAAAGAATTAACTGTAGATCAAAATAATTATGAGTATTTACTATAGGATTCTGACGATGGTGTATAACACACTGATATATTGGATTTTTGGAATTTATCCATCGTCCCAACAGAATAGATGTTTTCCTTCACCTGAGGACGGAAAGAGATCCAGTTTCCGAAACGTCATGTTTTTATTAGCTATCTTAAAAACCAGGACGATGGATAAAGTCCAAAAATCCAATATATCAATTATAAGTATGTTCAGCAAATAATGCATCAGTACACACAGCAGAAAATTCAACGCTGGAACTGCAAGATGTTTTTGAAAAATGAATAATCAGCAGAGGACTGTGGTCCTCATGTCCTGGGATTTGAATGTGCATGACTTTTATCTGTAGGAAAATTTTAATAGAAATGTTACAAAAACAAATCATGCATTTTCTGAAGCCTCAATAGGATAAAATATGGAATGTTATTCTACAAATCACGAAGAGTTAACTGCGATGCACATCACAGAGTGAAATGCGCACCTGTGTCGGATACCGCTATCAGCAGCTGTTATGAGGTAAGTAAAGCAGTAACACTTTCCATGCCAGCCAGTATTTCATCTTATGAACAGACAGTAATATAGCCATAAACAAACAAACCTCTTTGCGTATGCAGACTGGTGACACATTAAGAACAAAAGAAATTTTACTTTCAATCATCAGCTATAGTTACAATCTGTATGATGAAAAAATTAACACAAGCCAACTATTTAAAAACTTTTAATACTACATATAAAGCAGAACTTTAAAAAAGTAAAGTTGTCCCTGTGCTTAACTAATTACGCACTACACCATGAAGGCACATGGGGGAGTGGATGTATAGATCTACATTTTCTTGACCTTGGTACTAGCTGGAAGTGAGCAGTCAGGTTCACGCCCCGGCCGTTTTACCCCTGGAGAAAGAGCCTGCAGTACCCATTGGGTAAGAGGTTGGGTGGACCCCAGAGCTGGTCTCAACAATGTGAAGAAGAGAAAATTCTTGACCCTACCGAGACCAGAACCCTGAACCGTTGGTAATCCAGCCCGTAGCTCATCGCTATACCAACTATGCTATGCACACTCCTGAAAATATTATCTGTCAAAATTAGAATTTTAGATATCATGGTTACCTACCACCCAATATCTGTTTATCCCTGTCTACAAAATTATCATCTTTCACAATTTAGTGAGAGCTCACTAGTCATGTATTGAATATGGACTCACTTTCTTCTGGACTCTGCAGACAGTTTGATATCATTCTGCATCCTAACATTAACCATATCAGCAGGGGTTCCCACCAAACCACCAGCTGCCCCAGCAAGTGATGCCAGTCCAACACGTTGGTAAAATGGGACACTTTCACCGTCTGGAGACACTGCCTGCTTAGCAACTTCATAGATTCCAAATCTTGTTGTGGAATATGTTAGTTGACGTAACAATGACGCTGACAGCCCATTGTAGAGGGCGAACACTCCTTCTTCTTTAACAATTTTGAATGTTAGTTTTAATATCGACAGCTTTCCATCTTGCTGTGTTTGCAGGTGCACCTAAATGATACATAGTGCTTCAGAATCATGCATAAACTAGCACTAACAAAATATAAAACAAACTGGTCAAGAACAAAACAGCTCACTATAGTAGGATTCATATCCCTCGACATTTGGCAAGAATGAAGAGGGAGCTGCCATGACATTGCCAGTCTGTCCCTCTGCACACCTGTATGAAGCACCAACAGCATTATAAAACATATCAGAACAAACTGTGTAGTTATAGAACTGAACTATTTCATAAGGATAAATGAATAAATTGAAAAACTTAACCTTTATTTGCAATTCCTTCCCTACAAACAAGTGCTATTATTTTGTCCATAAGGAATTTACTTTTGTCATAATATTCAAGAACAGTTTCATGTAAAACATATTTTTGGACGTTATCTCAGTTTGTCACCCTTTTTTTATTCATGCACTTTATGGGTAACAAAAACAACTTCTGGTATACTTTTCTTTTCCCTCTGCCTCCTTGCAAAGGCAAAAAACAGTCAATTTGTTCATACAAGTGTTGGCTGTTGGGTACTGACATTTAGAGAAATCCAGTCTGCTTCATTTTTATTGGGGCCCATATTTTTAAAAAAGAAAATATACACATTAAAAGCTACAAATATTTTGCAAATGCTACCACCATAACCATTGGAATGGCCACTAACACTTATGGTTTACTAAGCAACAAGCTGTATTCAAAATATGAATCAGAAATATATAATATAAAAATAAAATAGCTGACCCTATATATATATATTATTACACATTTTAGTCTGCTACAGTGCTAAAACTTATTACACATAAACTCACAGTACCTGTCTCCAGCTGAAAATAAAATGACGAGCTTGTACATGCAACTCCTATCAAGTGTGACAGACAAACTACTAAGTCAGATCCTTTCCTGGTCTTCACATCTGTAGTTATGAACACTAAGTCTGGACGAGATAAATAAAGACAATAAGAAAGAAAGAAAGAAAGAAAGAGGTAACACCTGTGTTATCTGACACAGTGTGCAGGAATATTTCAAAATTACACAGATTGGTTAGAAATCCAGAAACAAGTGACTGATCCTTCTCAAAATTATGTTATCATATACAAACTCATCTTAGTCTATATCCTGAATATACTTTGAGAAGTTTGTCTGAGCACACATATTTGATTTTGAAACTCACAGCAGCACTTGAATTAGACAACACAGCACACCTCTTACTGGCTAACATGATATCAACAACCAAGCCTAAAATATCAAGAGAAATGAACCCAACTTTAGTTATGTCCACAACATGTTTGAATGCCACACTGCATCATCTTTAAATTCATCTAACAGATCTATAGTTCAATACCATTCTTTTCAGTTCATGATGGGTTAACACACGGGATTCTTTATCATCACCAAGTTATAATTTTACTCTAAAATGTGGCAACAGGAAACTTCAAAAGAATCAACAAAGGCTAAAACTGAATAGTCTACATCAGATTGATTGAATGATGACAAGTCAGTTTTTAAAAAAATATATGAGATTAAACATCACATCAAATGACTAATAATATAAAAAACCATAGAAAAATTACATAATAAGTCCTTTAAATATGATAAAACAGTGGATGAGTATAATAAGGCAACAAAAGCTAAACTATAAATTACATGCAATAGCTAAAATAAATTACCTAAGTATCTTTGTTCTATTATTAAGCTAATTCTTGTAAAAATATTCTTGAAGGGAATAAAAAGCTTTGCACAACAAGTAATCCTTTAATTGACACTTAAAAACCTATTTACACTGATGTTAATCTGTTAAGGGAGAACATAAAGCCCATAAAGAATAATGCAGAAATTTTCCTACAAGCTAGTAAGGAAACTGTAAAGAAAATGAATGTAGACAAACCTAAATATATGAATACTGAGCGCACCAAATATCACTGTCATATGCTTACCCATCCAAATGCTACCATGCACAATGTTGTTTCTCTTCCCCTGCTATGGGTTAAGCAATTTGATTGCTATGGAGGGATCCATGTTGGTCAAGAAAATGTCTCCATCGGAACAAGAAAGAAGACAGGTGGGTAATGGTTATCATGGGAGGGAGATGGGCCTCAGGGTATCCATGGTGGTGGTGATGGTGGAGAGTGAATTTCCTTATGAGTTGTGCCAGCTATTTCTCACTCTTGCACTGATTTTATGATATGTATTCTTGGGGTATCCTCTTTGCTGCTTAAATGTGTGGATGCCCTTCCAACTAGTAGCCCCAACCTCTATGTAAATTTCACTACAAGTTGATTTCTATGGCTTCCCAGATGACTCTGCTGGTGTACTGTGGCAGTTTGCTGTCATGGTGTCCTCAGTGTGTATCTAATATCCTTGGCTGATACAATGTTTTGCCTTCACTATGCATTCTGAATGATAGAGTCAGAGGAATCCATTACTACCTAATTTTATAATCTTCCTGTGTTTTAATAAATTATTGTTACTGACAAATGTAATAAATGAAAATAAAATACCTTCAGCAAATCAAGCGGATGGGTGCAACAGGCAGCCCCTGCTGATGCTAAGCCTCCAAAGTACCATCTCGACAGTTTCTTTTCCCTCATGATTTCTATATAGAACAAATATAAAACAAAGCATTTAGGCATATCTTATTGCTTTCAAACTGAAACAAATGTACTTAATCAGAGAAAAACTTTGATGAGATCTTTGCACATCTTCAGGGATACTAAATCTTCCAGCAAGTGCACTGGCTCTGTTAAGACCAAGAAGGAACAAAAAGTGTTCACTTCAAGGTGGTAAAATCTTTCAACCCTTCCCCTGTAACTCTCAATACTCTTCCTAGATCCACCTGTCATAGTATTTTATATCACTTGACACCCTCAGTGTACCACACGTTTATTTTAATTTCCACCTCTAGGTCTATCAGACCATCTGTTCCCACTCTCATAATTTCTTGTAAAGATGTGTTCTAAATTTATTTTTGTATAAATGTTAAATATGTGTTGCAGTGTATTCACTGTTCTGCACTGTATCATGTTTTTGTTGTAGTTCAAGACAAATTTTGAGATAATGGCTCCTCCAAATGACAAAATGCTTCAGCTTCTGACTGAGCCCATGACAGAGGTCCATGATGAGATTTAAGGTCATGAGGAAGGCAGTGTGGAGATGAAAGATGGCACACCCTACAAACTCCATAACATAACACTGAATTGCGTTCCATGGATCCAAAGTTAGTCAAAATGACTGTAGGATGTGGAATATGTCATATAAATACAAAACATATGTACAGACCCGATGGAGTTCTCACACAAGAGAAACCAAGAATACACAGTGACTACACACAAGGTACATAAGTTATTTTCTAGGTATTCATCAACAGAGTAGAATGAGTGCATATTTAATTATCGTTTCAGTGCTATTTTAAATCATGCCTTTTCATTCATAAGACCTTTTGAGATCAGATGACAGGTTATTAAAAATTTTGATCCCAGCATAATATGCACTTTTCTGAAAGCATGAGAGGTTAGCAACTGGTTTATGAAGACAGTGTTTGTGTCTTGTGTTAACACTGTGTACATCTGCATTTGTCTGAAACTATTCTTAGTTATTTATAATGAAGTTTATTAATGAATATATATATTTATATAGTCACAAGGAAAATTTAAGATCTGTGGTCTCTTAAAATAGATCTCTACATGAATTACGGGATTTGACACCCATCATGATTCTAACAGTTTTCTTTTACAATGTAAATACCTTTTTACTGTCAGATGAATTACCCCAGAAAATTATTCCATACTTCATTAAAGAGTGAAAATAAGCAAAATGGATTGATTTGAGTGTGTCAATGTTACTAATACGTAACATGAATCTAACTGCATAACATGCTCTACTTAGCTTTGGAATCAACTGCTCGATATGGTTTTTCCAGTTTAAATGATTATCAATTTGCAAGCCAAGGAATTTTGTGTTTACTCCCTCTTCTATATATTTATCATTATAAAATGTAAATATTGTAGCTTTATTCTCTTATTGTAATCAGCCAACATACAGTAACTGACTTGTCCTATATCATGTAACAATGATCTATATAGACGAAATAAATAAATAAATATCATATGTTTAATGGATACTGTGGTGAGTTTTTTGTTATCAATTTTATTACATTTGTTTTTTCTAGGTTCAGAGACAGCTTGTTTGCAGAAAACCATTTACTCATTTGCGAAAGAACCTTGCTTGATAACATGCTGAAACTAGTGTCATCTGCAAATATTATAGGTATTGATAAGGTCCTTAGTGTATGTGAGATGTCGTTTATATAAATTATGGAACGCAAAGGCCCCAAAATTGAACCCTGTAAGTGCAGTAACGCAGTAAGTGCCTTACAAATTATGTTGAATGATTTCATGTGCTTGTATTTAAATAAATTCCAGCACGTTTTGCTTCAACCTGTAATAAACTCTAGTCTCATTTCTGCCAAAGAATTCATTATTAAGTCGAATTCATTATCTTCGTAATATTTTACTTTAAACATGTTATGCTCCTTTTTGATCAAATTTTTGGGATATAAAACTTACAATATCCATTGAAGTGCTACAAAAGTCTCGCTTTTTACATCAATAACCGGCGGTTATCAGGGTCTCGAAGATCCGGTGCGACCGGTCATTGAACATTACGTAGCCACTCCCAATGAAAGATTAACATTGCATTCACAGTGTTAAGGTTATCGAAGTTTTCTCGTTCAGAATAAATTTATGCCAATGATTTATAATTCTATTACATATTATAAATTGTGTTGAAAACGTTCAGTTGTGCGTCACTGTATCAATCAACAATCAGAGAATATAAAATCAAGAACCCCTCCTTTCCCATACTACTATACCGTTAAATAAACGTACGTGGATATGTCTTGAAGGATGAAACCGGAATGTTGTACTACTATCAGCTGAATGAGGTGAACTACACTCATTCATATCTGCACTTCGTATCTTCACACACCATTGACATCATTGACAATTAGTTCCACAGACTGCTACGTTAATTCCGTTAATATCGGTTAATATCACGGAGTATTGCATTAATGTTGTGGTTCAAACAGAGAATGTCACATGGATTAGGTAAAGATTTTCGATGATTCGGCTGATTCGCTTTCGTTCGCTTTCGTGTTCCAAACATCTTGAACCTGAGAGTATGTTTGCGTTGTGAAATGAAGTTCGTACGAGAGGTTATTATTTTCTTTGACAAAATTTAATATAGTGATTTGCTGTGACAAGTAAACACCGGATCTAACCTTAAAATTCAACGAATAACCGACACTTAGTTGTATGCAGTGAGCTCAACGTGGTTTTTGAGGTGTGCAAGTGCATACTTAGTAAAATGGAATTCGTTCTAATGTAATGAAGTTGTCACATTCCAATAATAAGTTTTTATCATCTTTTCACAGTATGGCAACATCTGTATGCAGTGCTCTTGGAATAGATCAGGAAAACTCTGTTGGGAAATTGATTGCTGTTGAAGAACATCATAGTAGTAATGGTAATTTCGTGCTAAACTGCCTTATAGCCGAGCAAGTTCATAAGGAAGGTTCTGTATGTTTGGTGGCATTACATAACTCTTTTGGACATTATCACAATGTGGGTACAAAGTTAGGATATAATTTGCATCAGTTACAAGAGAAGGGCTGTGTTGAAAGTATTGAAGTTTTAAAATTATTAAATGAATCTCTAAATGCAGAACATGAAAATCGGGTTGGAAACGTTTTGTTTGGTGATGAAGAGAACACTATGAGAAATCTCTTTCATTTGATTAAAGGGAAGACTGAGAAGTTACTACAGAAAAGAAAATTGGTTAGCCTTGTAATTGATGATCTCAGCAATCTGTTATCTTTAGGAATATCTGTAAAAGAAGTGTTATCATTTCTTCAGTACTGTCGGACTTTGCTGGAATCACAACCTGGTCTCTCATTAGTGGTTTTGACTCATATTGCCGAGGGTGATGATGAGCAACAATTATTAAATGCAGGACTGTGTCATGTGGCAGATGTGATTGTAACTGTTTGTGGCCTAAAGACAGGACAAAGCAGTGATGTTTCAGGTTCTATGAAGGTTACTCACAGAAGATTGGATCAACCAATGATAGCTCATGAATGGAATAAGCAGAACTTATACCATTTCAAATTACTTGATAGACAGGTGAAGGTTTTTGCCCCTGGCACTGCAACTTGTCTGATATAAAGTATATAACAGCTATTTGTAACTTAAGTCCCATTTCGTTATAAGAGGCAGAAAGGCTTGTAATAGCTGACTCACCTCTGCTGTATGTCAATCAATAAATACTATGCACTGTTTAACACTTATCAAGATATGAAAACAATAGACAGCAGAAAGTCAACCATCAATTCAAATATTATGTTTCTGAACATTATCCATCATCCTGTTATTATTTATAATCACATTCTGGACACTGGATTCTGTCTCCATCATCAGGTAAAACCTGCTCAGTTGGGACCAATTGATAGAGCTAGTTCCTATCTCTGGACACCTGTACCAAAATCAGATAGGATATACAAGCCAAGCACAGCACAAACCATCTGCGAGAGCTAAGACAAAGCATTAAAATGTTAAAAAAAGAACTCCACATGTATGAGGCCTTGCACCAGAGAACTATAAGAATGTAAGCCATCACTGGAAAGACAGATTCTCTGTATGGTACCAACAGAAATTTTCCATTCAGTCTACACTGCTGGAAGTTGTAGCTTTTTACTTCTGTTGTCATAACAGGAGACCAGATGGAACCTGGGTTGACTGATCAGATGGTCGGATTCCTTGTATTTCCTATATGTGGTGTTTGATCCAATCTGCAAAACCTTTGCCTCATTCCAACATATTCTGTGGCTTATTTCATATGCATGCTCAGCTTATTATGATTTTTCAAGCAGCAGCAGGTTATATTACTAATGTCAGGTGAATTGGTTTATAACAGATCAACAGTGATCTTACAAACATAGCAATTCCTTTTGAAACTTTAATGGAAATATTCACTAAACTCAACCAAATGTAATAGTGAAGTGTTACAATGTACCAAGTTTCTTGAGTTTCTGCCACTTGACAGCAGATTTTGTATTTGAACTGTAGTGAGGATTAAAATTACACATTTAAGAATATGAATATTGAACATTCCTAATACAAAAGCTTTTTTATTCAGTTAAAAACTGTCATAATTCCATCTACTTTCCAAAACACTGAAAATCAGGATGCACAAAACAATTTTGGCAGTTACTTTGCATGGGTATGAAGCATGATCTCTTAAATGGAAGCTTATGAATTACAAGTGTTTGAAAACAGAATGGTCAAGGAACTATTTGGGTCCAAAAATTCTTCAGGAAACGAACAGTTTATGCTAATACATAATGAGGTATGCAGGTCGGCTATTATTGTTAGAGTAATAAAATATGGAAGGTCATGACTGTCTGAGCATATGTCTGTGATGGAGAAGAAACCTCTTGTGAATCAACTATTTGAAAGACTGGAAAGGAGACCTGTGGGAGGGGTGATATTAAGGTGGATTTCAGGGAGATGGATCGCAAGAATCAGAAGTGTATTGCCCTGATATATCATTATGTCAGATGGTGGACTTTGGTATTGATGGTATTAATCCTTCATTACGTATATTGCTGTTATAGGGTAGTTTGCTTAAATAGTCCACTACTTTGAAGACAGTATAGTACAATATACTTCAGTACAATCAGTGCACATCCTTACAGTCCGATTGGAAATCTTCCTTATATCTCACTGATACAACATGAACTTTACTGAACTTTTAGTACACATGGGCTTGTGACTTCTTGTGTGGCTTTTATTGACTGACATTTTAATTCATATGGACCTTGGCATTTGTTTCTTTGCCAATTTTCTATTGTTAGAGGTGATCTGTTAATGAAAACACATTCACAGTATTATGAATTCTGTTAATGAACATGTTAAAAATATACCATGATGCCCCCCTCCCACCCACCCACACACATGTTGGCAGTATTTAGGCATCGGTTCTTTCCAGAGCTGTACCCCCCTGTAGATTTATTTTTTTGCATATGCTCTTTGTAATATTTGAACACATTTGCCTTGTTATTCATTACAGATACAGATTTATGATTGCAAATCTATTCACACTACAGATGTCACATTGTTTACTCATACTGTGTTTCAGGTACAAGTTATAGATCTTCATAAAATATGAATTTCATGTTATGTTCCACTTATTTACAGGATGAGATAGGCACAAAAGTTAAATTTGTGTAACATTTAATGTGGTCTCAAAACCAAGTTTGATCAAAACCTGTTATCTGCTATATGAAACATGTGAATGGACAGGCATGACCTCCCCAGTTGGCATTCATATGTTGCATTTTTTCAAAAGAACACATAAAAGTAATTGCTATTGTTTATTTTATTACCTAATTTCGCCACTGTTGTTGTTTGTATGTATATACAGTACTTTATACCTTTCCTTTATTAATTTTACTTCATCTAATGAACTGTGATTATGCTAATATTTATGAACTGTATAAATACCTTGAACAATTATTGCCTTAAGCTCCAGGTTAACATTAAGTTTCAAGTAAATTTCCACTTTAACGTTTATATGTACTGTGCTGTTGGAACAGATTGAAAGGTACAGGCTTATCTGGTGATGATGAGATGCTGTTCTGTGTGAAGTCAGTCAGTAAACAACACAACATGTTGATCTCAAGAATAATTTTAGCATCAGATACTGCTCGTGTTTGTGCTGTTCAAATTAAAACCAACCAAACACAACTGATTCTTCTGTTTACATAATGTATGTCACCACAGTTTAAACAGGTACACCAAAGCACTGAAAATAGAATATGCTAATGATACATCAAGCCTAAGTGTGTAACTCGGGTTTAGGAAGGCCACCAGTAATTCAGGGAACTCAGGCCCAATTCCTTGCTGACCAGTCTTCCATGGTTTTCCAACAGAGAAACAGAATTTGTGAGTTGATCCTGTCTCCATTTCTCATAAGTTTTGTAATCTAGTTTATTCTAACTTTGACTATTTATAAAAGACCACCTAAATTTCAGTTTGTAATTAGGCTGGATATTAATTTGTTCTTGATTGTGATGCTGTGGAATTTGGTAGACCTCTACCAACAGTTTGAAGGATCTGCTGTCTTCATTTTCACTCTTCTACCCTAAAGCTTGAGGAAACAGATTCCTCTGATGTTGCAATATTGACGGAAGATAAACAGTGGACGCTAGGTTGAACAATTGCAACGGGATGCTGAAATACAGAATTCCTCTGAAATGTTGGTACCTACCTATGAAAGTATATGGCATCATATCCTGATGTCATATAGTCTCAATGCTGACATTGTCATTAAATGACCAACAATAACAACAAATTTAAGAGCTTCACATCCTAGAAAACAGTAGTCTTCGTATTTCCTGCAATGAGAATTTCTTCTCCCCCCCCTCACCCCCCAACAGACATGTTAAGTTCACCTCAGCAACCAAAGTGGAGTACCAATTTTGGTGAAATTCAGTATGATAGACCTGCATTAAATTTGATAACTTCATTTAGGTTTTTTCTTAGCTTGGTTCACTTCAGGATCACTTAATGTAATGAGTTATGGAAACGTTTAGGTATATGTTTTCAGCCTCTAACAGACTTGAAACATCCGTGTTATTTGCATACTACTCTGTATGAATTTCATCTGCTCTCTTTTGTTATAAAACCCACTTTACCCTAAGGCCTTCATGTGAAGAATCCTATGTTCTGGGATATAACACTGAAAATCGGTCGACACTTATGAGGAACATGTTGCCTCCATCGACGAATAAGCCAAGCAATAAACTAGCATGAAGAAGGTACTGACAACATTATACCCCAAAAGATAGGGCACTTTAAAACCACCACTGTGAGAACCTCAAATCCTATAGGCCTCCGCAAGTTTCTGGATGTGTTCCACCAAGTAAGTAAGAAAACAAGTAGTATGTAAAAGCATGAAGTATCCTCAGGATATAAATATAAAAAAGGTAAAGCTGTCCCTGTAACAAGCTGTGAAGGCCCATATGGTTGTGAGCTATAACATTTGTTGTATCTCACATAGGGGATCGATTTTAAGAAAATCGCTTGTGTAATAATAGGTGTACTTTCAAAGTAAGAATTGTCCACATTGCTGCAATCAGTCTGCCATGTAGCAGATGCCCATTCAATTTAAAATTCATCGCCTTCTGTTCTGCATATACGTAGACAGCAGACAGTGCATAATGTGCAAGTGAACATCCTGTAAATACCACCCCAAGGGTATATTTTCATTGTACTGATACTTAAATATGTTTCAATACTCCATATCCGGGGGCACACAGGAGCATAGTTGGTTGAGGGGCTATGCTACAAGCAGGAAGGTCACGGGTTTAGGTCCCGATAGGCCATTGGATTTTTTCAATTGACCTAATCCTTCCAGCCGCACTATGGCCCTGGGGTCGAATCAGCCTCTAACAGAAATGAGTATCAGGAATCTTCCTGGGGGGGTAAAGGGCGGGAGGCACATAAGGCTGACAACCTTACCACCATCTGTGAGCCTCAACCTCTCACAATTCTATGGGCCTCCACGGGGTGTTACAGGGTCTTTACTTTTTTTACTTTACTTCATACCCAGTATGAGGCTGTGTCATTTCTAACATGTTCAGTCTCTGACCTCACACTGTCTGCTTTATCCACAGCATGTTTGTGGTACACAAAAGTATTTGGAATAATGTGAAGAATTGACGTTTTGATCAGGTCATCAACAAAGTATGTCTACCATTCTTCCTTTACCATTTAGAATTAACCACAAGGACTCTTACTCTTCCTCATGGCCGTCAGTGCCGGCATACACAAATTATTTTTAAAGCAGTCTTGCCATCTGGTTTGTATGGATGTGAAATGCAGTCTTTTACTCTGAAGAATAATGTAAATTACAAGTATTTTGAAATAAAGTAATCAGGCAAGCGCTTGGTCTCAAGACGGTTAAGTATCTGGGCGGTTTGATGTATTGCATAGAGTTCTTCATGGTTGGCTCACTTAGTTGTTATTGTAGGCAAATCGAGCAAGTTACAATGTCTGAACGTGCAGCTCAAATAGGAGAGAGACAAGAAAGGGATATATCTTGTAATGGCATCAAATTGGCAGAATTAGCCATCAGATTGGGACGTGGGTGGACCCTAAGTTGGTTAGCATTGAATGGAGGTTTGTGACATTAGCGGTACTGAATATTTCAGTTTGATTACTAAAGGATTAGATTATTTATAATAAATTGTGTAATTATTACATGTCCCGGAGCACGTGTTAGCATAGTTGGTTGAGGCACTATGCTACAAGACGGAAAGTCGCGGGTTCGAGTCCAAATGAGGTGGATTTTCTTCAACTTACATAATCCTTTCAGCGACACTATGGCCCTAGGGTTGACTCAGGAATTTTCCTGGGGGTTAAAAGGCAGCCGGCATGTAAGGGTGATGATGACCTTACTGTCATCTATGAGCCTGTTGTCTAGAAGATGTGGGGGCCTCGACCTCTCACACCCGTTTGGGCCTCCACGGCCTGTTACAGGGGTAGCTCTACCTTTTTTATTAGTATATGTTCCATATGTTATTTCACTGAATACATTTCCTGATCTTTTGTATTACACATCAGTACTTTATAGTTAAGTATATGCAGTCATTGAAGTTACATTTAAATTTCAGTAAGAATTCGCTTAGTGGGGGGTGGAGTCCAACTGGATCCACTCGGCACGGCGGCCACTGATTAGCCTATTGTAGCCTGCCCCAGGTGGTTATGATGATGGAGAATCTGGTGGAATGAACATTGGCAGGGGAAACCGGAGTATTTGGAGAAAACCTGCCCCAGCGCCACTTTGTCCACCATAAATCCCACCTGACCAGACCCGGGATAGAACCCGGGCCGCCGCAGTGGGAAGCCAGCGACTAACAGCTTGAGCTATGGCGCGGCCTATAAATTTGAGTAGCTCCAATTGTAACGCAGAAGACTGATACGTTTCTACCATTTGGCATATTAAATATTCCCCAGGGGCTGCAGGTACAGCCAGACCAGTTATCTTAATTAGCATATTTAACATATGTAGTAATAAACAAGTTGAGGTGAAACGTTCCTACCTTTAAACATATATCATTACGAAGTATCGTGGTTGAATGGTTACCATTCCTGCATCATATTTGGGAAGTCCTGGATTCGAGTCTCGAGACCATATATTCTGGCTGAGGTTTTCTTTTTTTTTTTTCTTCTTTTTTTTCTGATCTGGTGAATGCACGCAAATGGCCTTACTGTATGAGATTTCCACGTCAGTCAGTCAGTTAGTTAGTTATTGGAGAGGCTGAGTTTCCCCATGCACTGAGACCTGTATTGGTCCATTGTCCTTCCCTCTATGTTTTCTAGTCTCTATCCCCTACCGATAAATGGT